TATTTCTTCTTTTATTTTGTTGTAACCGGATCTTATAAAAAGTCCGGATCTTTTGTAATCGAAAAACAGTTACTTGAGAGAACAATGAACTCAATGAAGAAAATAATTTTTCCCGCGAACATCAACTAAGACAGCTTTATGCATATGCTTGACAAAAATCAAAATTCGAGCATGCCCCCTAAAAATGGCAATTTTTGCCCTCAAGTCAACTAACATATTACTTACATATTTGCATTGAAAATTGAAACTTCAACTATAGTCCAAATAAATAAGGTTACTTTTTAAAAACATATTAGTGTTTTAGCCCATGCTAAGTATGGTCTTTTTGTAATTCATCTATATTTCGTCGTGTGTCAATCACTCTTATCCAAATATAATTTTTAAGATCTAATGACTCAAACCCGTTCGAAGCACGTGAACCCCACTCTCACCCACCCCCATTAAGGTTAGAGAACATGTACCCACCTAGAAATAATAATATTAAACAACTTATATAAAACTATAATTAAAATTAAGACCATTAAAACTAATTTTTTTCATAATAAATGAATAAAATGAAGATAATCAAAATATTCTAAATGCAACTTGAATGAAATTAAGATATAAGACAGTTTAATATTCAAAAAACATTATTTACAAATAATGCATCACCACAAAGTCCTCAATCAATCAACCAGTCATAAGATGTAATAAGGAAAATATTAATAAAAGCTGTAATAATTTTTAATTATTTTTTCTCCATCTTCATTCTCTTCTTCAAAGTTAAAAGAGATAGTTCTTTGTCCATTTCTACAAAATAAAAAACATATTTATTTAGTAAAATTAACATTAATAAATTATATGTAAAAATTAATTAATGTATAAATAAGCCAACATGATTATATCTTTATTTTTTACTAGATGTAGGTGGGGTTTTAAATATAGAAGAGTCAAGAATAGTAATAGGCGAAATATTTTAAATCTTCTTTTCGTCATTGCTATTAGTGGTGGATATCATGGTGGATAAGTCTGGAGTTAATTCAACAGAATGATTATTAATAGTAACATCCTGATTCAATTCAATTAATTTCTCATCCTGTGATAATAATATATTTGTCTTAGAATAACATGTTAAAAATTTAATTTATGAAATAATGAAACTAATATTGAATTTAGCAAAAACCTACGTCTTAGAATTTTTATCAACGATATTTTTAGGTGTCGATAAGTTTGGAGTATATTGAATTAATTGACTGTCATCGCCATCAACTAGTGTCATATTAAGGAATCAGCCTGTTGAGTTTTTCATCGTCTACATCATCATCAACGATTTTAATAACCATGTAGTCTTCAATGCATTATTTTTGTTAAACTCTGCAACTTCAATACGGAAACACATATTTCTACCGATTAATCTCTTCATTGCAAGTGGAATCACCTTGTTATCTGCATCTTGTTTAAGAAAATATATATTAGTTTTTAATTTTATCTATTAAATTAACAATGTATTAAAATTTTAATATAATTTTGATATAATATGTCACTTATAAGGTAAGTTTGTATTTAAACTTAAATACATATTCACATTATATATTGATTATTCATTTTTATTTTTATAAATTATATAATTTATATTTATAAAAATTATAATATCTTGTTTACCTTTCTTATACATATTTAATTTTTTTATGATGATTGCAGTAAAGAACCCCATTGATCTTTTTTAACTTGTTATTGCAATTAGCATAAGAAGGATATCATCAACCCGACATCTCCTCAATTTCCATGATTTGAGCATTGCAAAAGAAATGTTTCTCATAAAAATACAACAATATATTCATCATTATTGAATTATTTATAACCAAGAAAATAATAAACTACATGATAAATCAATTAAAATATTAATCTTGAAGGTATATGTAATGTATTTATATAGTAGTTGTATAATATTTTAAGTTTAATTTAAATTTTTTAGACATCATTTTAGCAATTTAAATGAAATGTGTTGAGTCTATTTTGTAATAATAAGACAAATTTTATCATTGTATCATGTTTCTTATATTGATGTAGTGTTAAAAAATATAATCTAATATATATAAAATTTAGTAAATAATTCAATACTAAAATAAATTAAAATTCACTTACATTACAGTCATTCAATTCTTTTACTTCAAAAATATCATCAATTGTACTATTGTTAATTTAAAATTTAACTTGTGTGCTTTAGCGATCTTGTCCTAGTCTCTAAAATTTGGTATTGAGTTAGCGCATCAATATAACTAAGAAAAAAGATAAGTAAAATAAATACTTATAATTCTAATTTTGAATAAATTTTAAGAAAAGAAAATTATATTATTTCACAAAAAGTGATAAAATACTCTTGAGTTTGAACAATATCCTCATTATCACTCGGATTTATATAAAACTTTGTAGCATACATGGATGAAAGGCTTGTCAATCATTTCATTGTGAACAGAAATATAATATAATATAATTTATATCTTTAATTATTACAAGTTTATAATTAGACAAAAAAATATAAATTATCATAGTGTGTGTGTGTGTATGTGTGTGTGTATGATTCATACCTCTAAATCTACAGTACAACAAACAGGTCATAATAATAACTATTGAGTGTTGATTCTCGTGTTTTAATTTTTCCTCCATAGCACATGTTAAAATTTCCAAAATGTGATAGCTATGGTATTAAACCTAATAAAAGAATAAATGTATATTGAATATTTATGTTATAAAATACATTTATGTATACTTAATATAAACAATAATAAAATCATAACAAACTTATTATCATGCATTGTAAAACTTCTTAACAAAACTTTTTTTCCCACTCTTATCCATGCTATCAATCGCATAAATTTCATCAACTATTCTTATCACATTTATATAAGAAAATAATTAAGATTTTGTATAATTTGACATACATGGCAATCTATGAGGGATGTAGATTTAATACATACCTAAAATAAATTCTTTGGATCAATTCTTAATTCAATCTGTCTGCATGGAAGAAATTCAAATTTGTATCTATAAAATAAAAAGTGAAAATTGTGTCTAGGCCCCAAAATATTAAAGTGATGTGAGTAGGACCCCTGTATTATTTTTTGGGTGGCAAAGCCCCCAATACCCAATATTCTTATGTTTCAGCCCTTTTTACGTTTCCCAAACCGTACAGAGAGAAAAAAAAGACGAAAACCTAAAACTGCCATTTCCCTCTTTTCCCCCTAAAACCAGGTTGTCTTCTCTCTCTCTCTTTCTCCTTCTTCGCTCTCCGCAAACCAAGCTCATCTCGAAACCTATTTTGAAAACCCTAATTCACTCAAGCTTCCAGGAAAACCACACAGAAAAATGCCCATAAAAAATTTAAGAAAAAAGGGTGAGAAGCCTGTGGAAGAGAAGGGTGAAGGAGACAAAAAGCAGACGGAAGTTCTTCGTCACCGACGACGCTCGACGCGATTGGCGAAGGAGGAAATGCCAAAGTTATCCGTCTCCGCCTCCGCCTATGCCCTCATATCTCCCGTCGGTGGTTCTCCTCCGACATCCTCTGAGGAGGAGGAGGAGAGTAATGAGGTGACGGAAACCCTAATGAGCATGAAAATGGTACTGGAAAATCGAGAGGGGAAGAGGAAACGCTCGGCGAAAGAAGCGTTCACCTCAAAGAAGAAGTTAGTTCCCAATGAATTGCGTGAATTTGAATTTAATTAATTTAATTGTGTGATTTGTATTGAGGTTTATTGGTTCTGTTTATGAGAAAATATTGGTCAGAAACTGGTTATTGTAGTGTAGAACTAGGTTCTTACTTTTGGAGCAATGAATGTTAATAATTCTCGTATGTTGTGGACGTTTACCATTAAGTGTTAACTATTAGCTATTCATGTTAATAAATATTAACTTTTAATTAGTTAATGCCTTTATTGTTAACTGTTACCTAATTTGAATTTGAACGATTTGTTGTTTATGCAGGAAAGTTGATGTTGTAGGTGATATAAGGCCTAGTGCATGTTTCGGATCATATTATATATTCATGCAAAAACTTCAACAAAAAATAAAGAAGTGGCATTGGTATGCCTACAAGGGTACTAACTTTGAGCAATATGTATTCTTCGGACCTCCAGCACGTGAACGACGAGCACTAGAGTATGTGCTCAGTCATTATGATGCCGAAACTGATGAATTCTCTTTTCCTGATCCCCAAATAGGGTCTCTAGTTTCAGTCAAATTTGATGAAGAGTGAGTGCAAACCCACATGGACTTCCCTATTGATGGGGAGTTGATCTATAGGAATAAAGACCCTCACAACCGGCTTTGGAGGGAGTTCTTTGAAGATAAGAAAGAAATATTGAAGGACAAGGCAAAGGCAAAGGCCAGGGCTACAGAAGAAGCTGGTAGCATGATAAAATATGTTGAAGAGTTACTGGAGTCACTTGTTGAGTCAAGTGATAATAAAGACATTGAGGATTTTGTGCTTCTTCAGATTTTGTACCAGTGTTCGATGATTTAGTTCCCGAACAGTTCGCAAGGCATCCCAAGATTGTTGTTTCAATATGTTGATAATATTGAGAGAGTGAAGAGCATTGCCTGGGGCAAATTTATTTTTGACGAGACGAAGTGAGGCATTCAAATTGCTGTTGAAGGGTTGACGATACCAGGGGTTACGTACGTACCCGGATGCATGCCGCTTATCCCTGTAAGTTGCATGTTCATATATGATTTAACATTTGTTTTAGTTATTAATAGTTTTGGTTATAGGCATTAGATAACATGTTCAAGATTGAATGTTAACAGGATTTGGTGAAAATTAACATGTAAACATAAAAGTTAACATGGAAACCTAATAACTTAACATGTTTAATTGAAAGTTAACATGTAAACACAAATATTTGTTGCTTCTATTTTGACAGCTATGGTACTACAAGATGACAGAGATTAAAAAACCAGTCCTAAACTTAAGATGGAAGCTTCCGTTGACCAATTAGGTAAGGGTCGGAGGGACGGCTGGATCGATGAGGAGGGAGACAATTGTCTCCAAGGCAAAAAAAGCAAACATTAAGATTAAGGATAAACCAATTTCAAACAGCAGCCCATGGGATGAGAAATACCCTCTAAGGGAGCCTAGCGGGAAGAAGGCTAATGCTCGTCTTGGAGAAGTAAGAATGAGACCTATATCATCTAAGAGTAACGCTATGGTGGTTTCACTACCGAGGAAGAAGGAGAAGATAGAAAAGGTAAAGGATGATAAACAAGCCAGAGTGAAGGGCAGACTAAATAGCTCATCCGTAGGATACGTAAGCATCAATGACTCTTTACTGCTTTTTCTTTGTTTATATTGGTTGAAATTTGGAGTAGTTCATCATTAATTCATTATTAAATTACTATGGTGGTTTCATGTTTGGTTTCATTGTACAACATAATTACATTGTTTCACATTGAGTTAGTGCATGTTCATGATCATGTTAGTACATGTAATTACTTAACAATCATGATAACTTCTAATGTTTTATGTTATCTTTCATGCTCATGTTAGTTTTCAGATTAACATGTTAGCTTTCATAACTTTTATCCTTAATTTTATGGATTTACATGGTAATAGGGACCTGGATATTTTTTCAGATTGTCTCCCATCATATCAGTAAAGCGCTTGAAAGAGAAGATGAAATAAAGAAGTTAACCATTGATCAGCAAATTCAATTTTGGAGGAATACGGCTAAATTAAATTGGAAATTGTTCCATGCCACAAAGCATAGTAAGCGACTTCAATGGGATGCTTGCTCTAAGGAGATACATAGGCTGAATAGCAAATTGGAGAAGTACGAAGGAACTGCTGACCTGGTTGATCCCGATGACCTGAAGAAAAACATGGAGGCTATTATGTCCAAGAGGAAAGGTAGTGTTGATAGCACTGTCAAGGATGATGATATCGATTGCTTCAATTATGATTATGTGTGCAATATTGGTAAGGAAGCCTCTCATATGCGGAGGATGTAGCGCAATCAGACCATGAGGTAGATGTAGGCGTCAAAAATTGCCTATAGGTCCCCGTACACGGCTCGAGATAGAGAGAAGATGATGAATATCACTATTAGAGTTACAGAAGCTCATTTGATGATGACAAACACATGAAATGAGTTGACAGACCATACGAAGCAACGGAACTTAGGAATAACGGAAACATGAACTGATTGGGAGCTTCGTGTTACTTATAAAAGATGAAATGTCTTCCATGTCCTATCAACTCCACAGATAATTAAATTATGGGAGATTGTAGATCTTCTCGATGGCTTTCTGATGCATCTTGAATCGTATGATTCCGAGTTCGGACGACGAAGATACGATAAAAACGGACGGAACACGCAGGACTACGTCCCGGGCCTCGGCGAGACACCCATGGTGTCTCGGCCAACCCGAGACACCCAAAGGTGTCTCGTCTTGGCCAAGACATTCTAAGGTGTCTCGGCCAAGCTGAGACACCCAGAGGTGTCTCGTATTGGTCGAGACACCCATTGGTGTCTCGGCCAAGCCGAGACACCCAAAGGTGTCCCGAACATTGTAGAGTGATTTTGTCTATGATTCGATTCAAATCTGAAGAAACTCAAAATAGTAAAGTTGTAGATCTCCTTGTTAACTTTTTAATACATCTTGAATCAGATCATTTGGGGATCATATGAGAAAGATAAAGCCAAAATACCAAAGATAGTACAAACTGCCTCAGAATTCCGAGACAGTGTTGGTATCTCGGAGAAGAATAATAATTTTGGCCATGATTTGATTCGAATCTGAAGAAACGCAAAACATGAAAGTTGTAGATCTCTTTGTCAGATTTCTAATGCATCTAGAATCAGATTATTTGGAGGTCATATGATAAAGTTAGGGCCAAAATAGCTGAGATACTTCAAAGTATCTCGGCTTGGCCGAGACACTCTTGAGTGTATCGGCCAAGCCGAGACACTTATAAGTGTTCGCAGACCCGAAAAGCTATTTTTGGCAGTTTAGACCTGTTTTTCGATCGTTAACCATCTCGATTTGTTCTATCTGATTTGATAATATGGTTAAGTAGTTTCAACTAAAGATAAGAGGGAATCAACCATTTTTATCCGAACACATGGCTCCTGAAGCCTATAAATACAGCATCAGGGCCTTTATTTTTTAAGATATGGAATTCTCGAGTGTTAGCAAAGCCCTACCGGATTGAGGACTGAAGAGCCACGAATTTCAGAGAGGAGGAGGAGGAGACTTTAGCGGGTTCTTCAGCATAAAGAAGAGGAGTTTGTCATATCTGCAGCCCGGTTCGTCCCTTAAGATTACCCCATTGCGGTGATCTTAAGAAGAGCAATTATCTCGCTGTTGCCGAGATAAGTGCTTCGGCTTCTTGATTCCTTCACGAATCGATGAAGCTCCAGATCTGATCTGATCGTTTGGTGGTCTACGGATATCAACGTCCCCGTCACAGGCCAAGATCCCACGTAAGCAGAAGACTGATAAACGATCTCTACGCTGTTTGACGAGAATTATATTTTTATTGCGTAAAAGTCTTATAAAAAGACTATCTTTTTGTATTTTCATTGTAACAACTGAAGTTGTAATGAGTACCTCAATGAAGAAACCAATTTTCTCCCCAAACAGTAGATAAAGTTGACCAAGACGAGGATGAAGAGAAGGGAGGGGAAGATAAAGAGGAAGATATGGAAGAGAGAGGGCTGGAGCAGAAAGAGGAAGATAAAGAGGAGGACAAGAAAGAAGAAGATAGAGAGGAGGAGCTGTTTGAGGAAGATAAAGAGCAGGAGAAGAAAGAGGAAGATACAGATATAGATGAGAATGAGGAAGATAGAGAGGAGTACTTTGAAGAGGAAGATAGTGAGCAGGAGATGAAAGTAGATGAGAAAGAGGAAGAGATAGAGCAGGACATGATTAAGGAAGAGAAGGAAGAAGAGAAGAGAAGTGTAGAGAAGTGGTCGAGATGAGAGTGGATGAGAAAGAGAAGGAAGAAGAGATGAGAAGTGCAGAGAAAGTGGTGGAGATGAGAGTGGAGGAGAAAGACTTGCTATAAGTTTATCAAAAGATATTGAAGAAAGTTGTTTCCAAGGGGACAAGGGGACTAAGTACCAGAATTAGGATGCGTTCTCAGCTGTCAGAACACCTTTCACTGAAGAAAAGAAGAAGGTAGCTCATCCAGATATAATTACAATTTCACACCACAAGGAGGATGATAGGAAAAAAATTAGGTACTACTGCAAGCATGGTGAATGCACTTGGGATTTTCAAAAGAATAGGAAAATCAAGAAGATGGAGGAGGCTCTGATGAAGTTGCTGAACGAGGGTATTCCTGTTGTTGATGATTTTAGCATACGCTTGGTTGATAGTGAAGGAACCTTTGTTCATAACTTTAGAATACCCCACTATGTAGCGACAAAGCTCACACTAGAGGAGAACAGATAGGTCTCAGAGTTCTACAATCAGAAAGCTCACCAGTAAGTTTAATTCATGTGAACTAATGATGATAGAATTATGTTAACTTATGCCCATTTATGTTAACCTTTGCTAGACCATGTTATTGTTCACTGTTATATGTTAACGTTTCTAGAATATATGTTAACTTTTGCCATCTATGTTAAACTTTGCTAGTTCGATAATGTTATTGATGATTTTACATGTAAACTTTTGACCATGCAAGTTAACTTCTGGCCATTTATGTTCACTGTTATATGTTATTTTAATTTATGTTAACCTTTGCATGGATATCCTGCTGTTACATGTGCACGTATCGATAACAACTGTTAATGTTTGTATCTTTCTGTCATATATCAGGTCATGTATTGTTGTTAATACGTCAAACAGTTGCATCGATTCTTTGGAGCTTCTCAATCTACTACAAGGAGGACGTATTGATGACCATGCAAGTTTAATTGCCTCACTATATGCATTTCTGTCTTTTACAAGTGTTGTGCTATAGCGCAATTTAATGTGTATCTTATGTATGGTATATTTACAGGTCATGGAAGCTTTGATCGATAGAATTAACACATGGCTAGATAGGCTAGAAATTGCTCCAATGAGCCATAATTATAGGGTTGTATCAGTCTTTTTCTACGTAAGCTGTTAATTTTCTGCTACTAAGTTTCTTTAGCAGTTGTTTACTCCTGGCATAACATTATATTCTTAGCAATACAGCACACCCTTTATGCAAACACTCCTGATTTCCCACATATCTTTACTTTATTTATACAAAAGCATGTTGCTACGAGGAAGAATATACTCCTTATCCAGCTTGTGCGTCAGGACCATTAGCATGTTGCTGAAGTCAGGTTGGATGAGGACATTATTAAGCATTACAGCTCAGCTACCCACGATGCATGGCTCGAACCAGTTAATAAAGTAATTGGTTTCATGAATCATATGATGTCTGGTTTTGATCCCGATAATGTTTGGAGGAAGTTCAGATATGAAGCTGTCCCTTGCGAGCAATAGTCAGGAATGTTAGTATATCACTAATTATCTTTTTTACCACATCCAGCATCATATATTTAACAAAACTGTTATTTGTATCTCCGTGTTGCAGTTTTACAGCACAGGATGGGTGTAAATGTAGGAATTGAAGCTGGTTGACGATGGGAGCATAACATTGTGATTGTATATTAATTGAACAGTCTTCAATGGACGAAAGTTTGAAACTTTTTGTTAAGGTATTTCTGCTGCCAACGGCTAAATAACATGTAAATGTTGAAAGTTAACCTATTTCGGCATAGATTAACATATGTTGCTGAAAGTTAACCAGTTTCAGCAGAAGTTAACCAGTCTCAGCTAAAGTTAACTAGACTCAGCAAAAGTTAACACGATGCACTGAAAGTTAACCAATTTGAGTAAAATTAACCAAGGCAACCTAAAATCTAACCACTTTGGATTAGATCAAATAGCACTGAAAGTTAACCACTTTCAGTAAAAGTTTACAAGTTGATCTTCAATAAACTTTCAAAAAACAAGCTTTAATTTTCATACCACAGTGTAAATATTATGAATTGCACATGTTTCAGTTCATTTTCAACTTGCATATCACAATGTTTAAGCAAATTAGAACCACACAGAAGCAACATAGAAAGAACGAACAAGTTTTCCATTTTTCAACTTTACAATTCGATTGCTTCAATGCTTTCTTCAACTATTTTGTTTTGGCTGCTATCTCATCTTCAACAGGTAATTCTTGGTGAACGGCTATGTTCTCCTTCATTACATTAGCATTGTGAGCCCAAACAAAAAACTTGTATTGCTTATTTGGGAACTTTGTACATCCCCAGTAGTATCTACCTTTGTTGATCCTATTTTTGCACTGCTTGAGGGGGGTTGGAATTTTGCAGAAACAACATACTACCTTTGTTGATCCTATTTTTGCACTGCTTGAGGGGGGTTGGAATTTTGCAGAAACAACATACCTCTTCTAGTGCTTGAGAGCCCTTTTTTGCACTGCTTGAGGGGGGTTGGAATTTTGCAGAAACAACATACCTCTTCTAGTGCTTGAGAGCCCTCCTCAGTCTTCATCTCACAATCTCGAAATGAGTTTTTAAGGGATGGTAGGAACAAGAGATAAGGTTTTACCTGGGCTTTGCATAACATTATATATTGCATATTGGAACTAATAACTAGCCATTAGAATATGTCTGTTGGAATAGTTAATCGACTAGCCGTTGAGCAGTCACCTAGATTTAAGAATCAGCAATCATTTAAACTCAACCTTTAGGTCTAAAGGGTATCCACTTAAGCTAAAACTAGTAGTAGTACAGATTTAGTTATATGTTAACATGTTAAAGTACAAAATTCAAAACATCTTGCTACCTTGCAGCAGATTACAACTGTCCCACGATATATAATGTAAACTTAAATACAACTTATATTTCTCTAGCGCCATTCCTGTTATAAGAAGCATAACATACTAATCACCGATGGGCTGGTTGCAAGTTGCTCGGTTGTTCCCCTCAGCTTTGCATCGATCATATTTGACAAGATGTTTCAAGATGGTTCTGTTGTTTATGCGTCTTTTTCTATTTCTTCCCCTCCTCTTCATGGTAATTGGTGGCAAAATCTGGATTTCATCCCTGGGCACACTTTGCTTCTTATAATCTGGTATGTGATATAATATTTCATCGTAGCTCTTCTTAAATGCTTCTACAAACATGAACCAGTCATAATATTGATATACCTCTCTTTTCATATAAATGATGACTGTACAAGCATGCACAAAAGGAATATGAGTTACGTCCCAAGCACGGCAAGTGCATGTCCTCTTCGCCAAATCAACGTGAGTGGTTCTATGTGCTTGCACTTCGAATATATCACCTCTACATTGCTTAATCTCTAAAGTAGATCCCTTTTCTATATGTTCTCTAACAATCTCCTCAGCTTTAGGATAAATATAGCTTGTCCACTTATCAGTCATTATGTGTCTATTGTTCATGCGAGTCATAATTTGTCTGTGGATATGCTCCACCATTTGCAAGATACGAGACAATCGAGCATCACATATCCAGCTATTAAAGGATTCTGCAATATTAGAGGTTACTGTTGGCCTTCTTGTTTTGATGATGTTTAACAAACAATTTATTACTAATGTTGTTTGTCTAGTGTTTGTGCATTCCTATGTTTTGTAGACAAACAACGTAGTTGGAGGATGGATGGAATAGAGCTTCAACGATCATATCCAAAGGAGGTTGGCGGAATGACGGTGAAGCCTTGCTATTCAAAGTTCAAGATCCAAGTTAAAGCTTCATCCGAGAGATTACCTAGAAGAGCTTATTGAAGATCAAGATCTAGCTTGGGTAATTTAGTTTAGGATTTATATTATGTGTGTTATATACTCTAAGCTCAATTATCTATACACACACATTTTATTAGTTTCCTTGTATATATATGTAATCACATATATATACAACACAAGTTTTGGTTTTCATGTCTATAAATATGAAATTACATGTTTCATATTTATTATTGTGATTTGGTTTATCTACATAGATATGAAACAAATATATTTTCATATACATACTCATAGGTTTCATTTTCTATTGTATTTGTGAAAATATTGTATTCTTAGTTTGTAGACTTCAATATCAGTTTATACATGTTTTACTAAGTCTACAAAAACATTTCACAAAGTTTCAAAAGTTGGTTTATGTCAAAACATCAAAATTCAAGTATCTCATATTTTCATGTTTTGGACTAGTTTGTAAAATGATGATATTTTTCATTTGGGAAGTCCTTTTTGATAACCAGTCATTGTAGCATGTTTATTATCATGTCTACAATCATTCCCCAAAGTTTTACATTTTTTGGAATTTATTTGATATTTTTAAACAGTGTTTTAAAATCAGCTTTGTTTTTCTGGGATGTCAGTTTTCGGTCGACCGGTACGGTCGACCGGTCAATTGACCATTCGTCAGTATTTTTCCAGAGAGTCATCGGTCGACCGGTCCGGTCGACCGAGAGCTCAAATCGGTCGACCGACAGAATTTCCGGTCGACCGACAAAAGAGCCGTTGGCTCCTAACGGCTATTTCTGAGCTGATCTGTCTGGGGCTTTTCTGTCTTTTGTTTTGGGTGTTTTTGCTGAGTTTTGAGAGGGTATATATACCCCATTGCTGATGTCTTTTCAAACCAACCAAGAGAGTTTTTTTAATCAAGTTTAATAAAGTTTTTAAAGGGTTTTAGTTTGGTTTAAGTGTGTTTAAAAAGGTATTTCATACTTGTTAGGATAACTTGTTAATTAATTTTATTTGGTATTTAATCGGATTAGATTAGCATAAGACCCTAATCACCCCCCCTCTAGGGTCTAACAATTGGTATCAGAGCTTGGTGCTCTTTGATTTAAAGGTCTAACCGCCTTGAGTTAAAGATCCAAGTTATCTTATTTGTGCTAATCTAGTTATGATTACTTTTGTCTTGCTTGCATATTTTCATATATATATCATGAATATAAATGT